ATACCTCATGTGATTCTCATTCAGGATTGTTAGGGAGCTGCAATAGCCAGGGGTCCTAGGGTGGACTTAGACTGGCTTTCAGTCTTAACTCTACATGTCTAGCTCTTGTGGTCTTAGCTAAAGCATTAATATTATAAGAACATTGCTAACTTTTGTTTATTTTTCCTCCACTTTGTGTGTTAATGATAAAAACACAAACTGAAGAGCAGGACAGTTCAAAACACTTTATGAAACAACTGAAAACTTCCCCTAGCCCCTCCTGCCTGCCTGTCCTTCCCTTCCTAGTTCTTGCATCTCCCTCCCACCCCACCCCCAAGTTAAAAGCACAAACCAGGAATTCCTCAGAAATGGTCTTTTACAAGGAATGCTGAAAACTTTGAAGACATTAATCTGAAATGATCTGTCAAAGATCTAGAAGAATGGAATCCAACTGAACTTTAACTACTTTATCCTACTTAAGCTGGAACAGAACTGCTGAGCCGAGCAATTTAAGATTCCCACAGCTGCACTAGCTATGTTTTCGTTCATGGTACTAAATTGTTTCCATTAGCCTGAAAAGGGTTATAAAACCTACAATCAATTTAGTTTCTGGGGCATTGTGTTTTGAATACCGTTTAATAGGGTGTGACAAAAACACATAATTTCTCCACATGTTCTTACATTGCAAGCAGATTTTACTTGGTACTAGGCAGTGCACCAAATGTTCTGGACAGCAGAGAAAGCATTGGAATTGGAAATAAAGGAACAGTATCAGACAGCTAGAATGCCCTGGGCATGACAAGAATCTTAAGTGCAATAGATGAGCACAAAGGAATAATAGGAATTTTTATCATCCATTTGCTCATCAGCTCCCCATTTGCTCTGGATAGAAATCGTTAGATTTGTTTAACGTAGGGGAAAAGAATAGATTCAAAGACTGGAAACATGAGTTAACCCAAATGGACAGCAATACATTTAATACTAATATTAATAACCAGAGAGGGCTGAATGTGATGAACAGATGCGGGCAGGAGGAGGAGAATTCTTGCTTTCTTCCAATGAACTAAGTGGCTTGCATTACTTTTTCAGCCTAGTACACCCACAGCATTTTTCTTTACATGAATAACCACATTTATTTTAATAAGACTTCTTGGTAGTGGAGGACAGTGATTTAGTTACCTTTACTAATGCTCCTAATCTGTTTATATACCATACCTCCTTAAAGTGCTAGCACTTCAGCTTGTTTTTTACATTCACAGTGTATCTTATACCACGCTATTGCATGGGAAAATGAGACTGCTTAATAGCTTTCATCAGAAATTGTGAATTAAATGTATCCAAGCGAGTTATGAGATAAGGTGTTTCTGAATTCTGATGCAGAGAAAAATACTGTCCCACAACAGCACGTGCCAAACAGTGTAGTTTGGTTCTGTAATTGCATGCTGATCTGCGCAGTAAAATGTGAATATTGCCTATCCAAAAATGACTTTTTTTTTTTCTGGCTCGGGGTGAGCTTAATTGGCTTTCATAGGTGTTTTATTGTCTCTTAAATTATACTTAACACTTTACAAAGTAGAAACAAAAGAAACCTGACAAGTTTTACTTTGAGTCTAGAAATATATTACAATGTTAACAAACTAACTCCTTGCCAACCATTGCTATAGGAGAAGGAATGGAGCAATGATCAGAGAGGGATTAGATTGTAGAGGTCTGAGTGCACTGATTTCAAGGTGTGCTGTTTCATCTGATTTGTACTTGTGCATATTTTTAGTAGATCTTTTTAGAGATCTAGCATTAGATGAGAACCTTTCCAGATCAATTTTTTAAGCAGAGAAAAGAAGCCGCTCCTGAAGGAGCGTATGCCATGGACATTTCTAAGTTCCTCCTCACTCATATGTATTATGGTGATTTACGTGCTATACAGCAATAGGAGCGATCACTAAAGTAGTTTGTAAGGTGATAATTAAAGCTTTAGTTGATATATGTTTTAGTTGATGTATGAATGTAGCGAGCATGAAAACGAATTGGAAATTGCTTCATAGTTTTGTCATACAACAATATTTAAGATGCAAAAATATTTGTTATGCCAATGAGCTTAATGTTCGAGCTAAAGCTATCTATTATAGGACAGAGAAATGATAGAAAGATAGGGATTTAGGGAGGTTCTCCAATCCGTCCTATTGTCCCAAAGTGAAACATTGTTGGTCATTCCTAAAGATGCTTCCTTCACATATTCTTGCATCTTTTCAATGGCAGAAGCTTAGCACAACCTTCTCACACTATTCCAGACTTTCTCTGTCTTTTCCATGGAATACGTTTTCTTCCCATCTGTCTTGGCAGATCTTCCCTACTACCTTTTAACTCTATACCTTGTCTCAAACTTGGCAAATACAGAAAACAGTTTTTCCCTTTGCTGTTACGTTTTACACATTTCAAGACTATCATATCTATCTTCTTTTTAATTCTTACTACAACACTCATGCCCATTATTTTTATTTCTCAGTCGTGTTTTATAGCTATCTGGTCACTTCTCTGGTCTCTGTTTGGTGGAGCACAGCACATCTTACAGTGCAGTGCCCAGTAGTGGCCTTCCCTGGGCTCTGTTCAGGACAGAGGGATTCTTGTGTGTGTCAGTGCGCAGTGAACTTCCGGCATGGAGTGCTGATGCCTCACCTTCATTTGTGGTCTTTGATTATCCCCAGCACCAGAATTACTGCCAAGCCAAGGTTATATTTGTGCTGTTGGCTTTCCCAATGTAAAGGTAGAATCTTCTTTATATCTTTATTGAATAGAACCTGATTTTTTTTTTCTCTCGGCCATTGCAACAGTTTACTGAAATCCTTATGATTTCAAGTCATGTTCTCCAGTGTGATTTCAGTACACCACTCATTTTTATGGTCTCTGAATTTGCTCTCTTCTGACATCCAAGTCATGAATGAAAACACTGAATGATACTGGATCTTTTGATAGAGAATGTGGCAGGGTGGCAAATTTAAATTTTGGTGTGTTTTTCTTTTGTTAGTGATCTCTGAAAACCTCATAGTTTAACTTATTTGCTCTATTACTGTGTTGCCTTTCCTTCCTCTGCACTGTTGCAGCTTGCTTGTTCCCTGTAACGTATATTTTATTAAGGAACTGCCAACTCTGACGGTTTGTATCCCACAGGGTGTAGTCCACTGTTTCTCTGAAGTTTCTTTTACCAAAGTCATCTATCATTATTTTGCTAATTTTGCCTCGTATAGATGACCGTGCTTATAGATAAGCTTGTTTGGTACTTCCAGTAACTATCTAGTTTCGATGACTAAAAAAATTGTTGTGGCTGACTTTTTTTCTTCAGGCTTGTCTTTGGTTAGAATGCTCATCCGTTTTTGCAAAGGTAATCTTTCAGAATTTAGTATTTCTTTTAACTATTTTTCAAACTTTATGGCATTGGGATCCAGTTGTCAAAGCAGTTGGGAACGTGAATGTGTGGACATAGTGAGATCGTGCCTGTTCTACACAGAAGGTAAACAGGAATGTTTTGACTTTACTGCACATGAGTCGTTTGTTCATGTTAATTTTTGTTAAGAGTAAACTGTTCAACAGCTGGCAATAGAGATATGAACCCAAAGATTCTGTAAAACAGAGTATGACTTTGGAAGTGGAATGACACTGTAAAAGTAACTGTAGCTTGGGTCTATTAGGATCGTACAAAGGCTGTTCTTAAAATATTGTTTGAAATTTTTTAAATGTGTGGTTGAGGAAAAAGGAATCAGTGTATAGCATGATTGAGAATGGGACCTTTGTATGCAGGAAAACTGGAAAAGAATACAATACTTACTGATATAAATGTGGAGAAAAAGGTGAAGTATGTTCACGGAAGTATACTTCACTGAAGTATGTTGGGCAATGACTCTTCTAAACGGCTGTTTAATTTAGATCCTACTAAACGAACAGAGAAATATGGAGAAATACTTGGAAATTTTATAAAATTATCTGCTCCTAAAGCCACAAATGATTACAGAAAAGGGGAGGTGAGAAGGAAAAAATGTTAAGACCCGTTACCCAAGGGATGTAAACCCTGACATAAACTCCAGCAAATCTAGTAGCCGGAGTTAATTCATGAAAAAAATGTCTTTTTGTTAGACATTACCCATGGCAGCTGAGAAAAGGGACACTATGCCTATGCCTCTGATGCTTCTATGCTTAAACGTCTGATGAAGAAGGCTTTGTGCCAAGGTGCTGGATTTTGTGCTGAGGTGACTGAAGCATGGGCATATTTAACAGCCAGAATAAAAACAAAAAAAAAAGCCACCGTGGCTGTTTGCTAAATGAAAGTGAGTCAAAGCCTTCCCAAACACATTTCAAACCCCATGCAGTTTGACATGTTTGCTGAAGAAAGTTGACTAAAGATGGCACTAGTAGTTTATGAAGATGCAGCATGGTGGAAATTGGCCCCTATTTGTCCTGGTCACCTGCATGAGTGCAGTTATGAACATGCAGTTCCTAGTTGAAGGATGAATGCCTACAAAACTAATGAACTAGCACCTGGATGTCTCTGACAAAGTCCTTCCAGAGAACTTAAAAACTGATTTGTTAAATCAGTTGTTCCTCAGTTACAGTTAGAACAATTGACTTCTAGGGGGAGAGTGTTTGCCTGCTTGCGTGAGAAATTGTAAAGATGTAAGTCGCTTTCAGTCACCTTGCCCTGTCTTTCTGCTACTGGCTTTTTTTTTGGCAAGAAGCACTATAGACTTTGCACCCAAGTTGTTCTAATCAATGAGCCAACTTTAAGCATTCTTTTTTAAAATGCAGTTGTCTACTGCCATTGTTTGTGATATCCCCTGGAAGGATTAAACTGCATATTGCAGAGCATGGTAAATCCAACTTTCAGTGTTTGAAAACCAGTGTTCTGTAAATCATGCAGTCAATACAAGTGAAACACTTGTGTTTAATGAGGACTTGCAGAAGCCATGCTCTGAGTGTGACTTCATTAAGCTGCAAATGATTTCCAGATTGAGTTATTGATCATCTTTTGCAAGGTCTTGAAACAAACTTCTGCAGAAGAGATTGAGCCTGAATCCTCAAATGTGCTGCGTGCTCGTTTATGCTAGCCTTTCACCAACCAATGATGGAAGGAAAACAACACTGGAAGAAGTTGTCCATTCAGTTGGCTATCGGAGTAGCGTGAGTACCTCAGAAACCTAAAATTACACTGTCCAGGCACTTAAAAGCTACGTTATAATGCTCTGCAGCCCACTTTTTGTGGCTGTTCCTCAATCTTTTGGTACTACTAGTCATTTTTACTGAACTGAGAGTAATGATGCGCTCACAGCGTCAGTGTTTTCAAATTCTTTTGTGTGTAAGGTGCATCTGAGAGAATGGAGACCCTATTCTTGTAGTTCTCCCTGTTCAAGGACAGCACATGATCTGCATGCCACACTGATTCGTGTAATGGTTGTTTTGGCTTACTGGACAGCACTCATATGGCTTATTTATTGACAGGGCAGTGAAAGCTTGTAGCTTCTCTTCCTGCCCCTTCACCTGCTTTGCGGCATCTGAGTGACTCTGTTGCTGGAAACCTCACTTTTGGTGAGGGTACACGATGGGAAGAAGGGCTCAAGAAGCTTGAAAGGGCAGGAAACAATTGTTGGAGGAGGTTGCCTGTTGAAAAGTCATAATTTTTAATGCCTCATCCTCTTTTTTTGAACCACTTGCCTCTCCACTAAATAATTATTAGATAACATATTTAAATAGGCTTAAAAAGGCAATAATAAAGAGACTAAAGAGATACATTTTGATGTTCTCAGATACTGTGATCTTGCAGGCCATGGGAAGGTCCATTAATTAGCGTAATTCCTTCCGACCATGCCTTCCTGCTCTCAAACTTGAGGAAAAGGAGAGATGACATGAATTTCATGACAATTTGGAGTTTCCCTGCAGGCTGATTCTACCTGAAGTACAATTTCACTTGAGTCTGTTTTGTGGACTTATTACCTTATTATGTGAACACTACAGAACAATTTTTTTTTAAAATGCCGCTAACTAAATCTTTTTCCTAGGGTTGGTTAATACTGACATGTATCTTTTAAGTTGAATGTGTTTACTTTTGTTAAGCATTTTTATTCTATTAGAATTTAATTAATTGTATTATTGCTGAATGGGGTATTTTGTGATTGAAAGAGGGGTTTGTGTTAGTTTGTAAATTCCACGGAAAGATATTGATTTTCATCCTTTGTATGAATGAATAAAAATTCAGCAGAACACAAGTTAATTGTACTACCTGCCTAGGTTTCACTCAGCAGTGTAAATAGGCTTTATGTGACTCTCAACTTTAGGAAGTTTGAAACTGCCACTATGCCCACTGTCAAAATGATAAAAGTTCCTTGACTTAAAACAATGGCATATAGCTTCAAATATCTGTTCATTGTAATGACTGTCTATTGCTTTGTAGCTGTATGGCTTTCTTAGAGAGGTATTTATAGCTTCTTCTAACTAAATTAATTGGAAAATATGTGAGATCTTCATTAATAGTCGGAGTATTATTGCTCTGAAAAATGCATTTCAAACAAGGTGTGGTAGAAGGAGACTGTAGGAAAAGCACAATTTTGGCACAAATCCACGAATTTCTAAAAAGAAAATGAAAAACAGATTCTTAAAATTCTCTGGGAATCTGAATACCAGAAGTCATAAAGTTTGAAAATTCTTAATACTGTTGGCCCTTTTCAGATCTTAAATTTTGCTGTTTTTGTAAGGTCTTTGGCATCAAGGCAAAGGTGTGAAATTTTGGGTGTGAAATTTATAATCATATGTGTGGCTTGGCCATAATGCAATGTAGTTGATATCTTAATTTTACTAAGTTATGGGTCTGCTGACTTCGTGCTTGAAACTGTGGACACCTTTGACCAAGTCTACCAAATGCATTCCCAAAGCATGCTTATAAAACCAAGCTGCTCGTTGCATGCAGAAAAGTTAAGTTATATTTACAAAGTTTATGATTCTACACCATGATATATTTATTTATGTAGTTTGGAAATAGGAATATCAGTTTCAACCAGTAGATACTTGCATGGTCTAACTTATATGCCTACCTAGTTTTGCAAGACTGACTTCATTTTTCCAATAGAACTGGAAACACAGTAACAATATGTTACCAGTGTACTTTCATGGCATTACATAAATGATGACTAGAGAATTGGCAAGTTGAATGGTAGCTTGCTAGCTACCAGAGAGGCACAACTCATCTTAAGGACTTTTTTGGCTGATATATGGTTGGTTAAGAGAAAAGAGCTGTGTTGGCTCATGCCTCTGTCAGGAAAAGAAGGTCCTTTACAGAGGAAATCTCTCTATGCTTTCCTTAAAACAAAAATAAATAAAATTTCTTTTGAAGTTAATTCAAAGAGTGTGTTGACTTTTTGTTGACATTAGCTGTGGCAATGTCAAACATTTTCCACAGTAGATCAAGTACCTAGTTAAAATCAAAATTTTTGGAGTGTATGAGTGTTTTTGTGTCTGTCTTATTTTTCAGCACATGCAGATGCTGGGCCACTGTGGCATAGACTGGAGAATGTGAGTACCTTCTATTTTCTTGCACTCTTCTATGTTTCAAGCTTGCAGAGAGTCAGCTCTAGAGCTGACTGTAGCCCGGCCTACCCTTATATAATCCTAAACATCTGGATTGAGCTGAATCTTGCTGCCTTCTAGACTTTATATGACTGCCTCTGGTCCTTGAACTTTCACATCTGTATTCTCTCAGCTGCTAGAAATTTTTACCTCCCTGCCACAAAGAAAGGACAGTAATAAATGGAACAGGTTATTTAATTTATTTCTGTGTTGATATCCATTCCATCATCTTGCAATATGAGAAATGTTCTGTTTGTTTTGACCCTGTCTACTTTTATCTGGTGTGGTTTATGTTGCATGTCATTGTTTTAAACATTTTACATGTTTTTGTTTGTCTTGCTACACCTGTGTAAATGAATTGCATCAGTTCTGTGCATCAAGTTATTTGTGAGAGTTATAGTTTGAAACGTTAGTACTGAGGAGTTTACCAGGTTAGAGTATGTTAGTTGAAGCAGTATCTCAGTTTCTGGCAGATTAGGCATAGGAAGAAAAAAAAGTTCTGCAGTTCTGCAGATAAGAATATAACAGTGCACATGC